CTCCAGCCACCTCCCCCATCCCCTCCAGTCAACAAGGAGATTGCTTTTGCCTCAAATTGTATCATGTTCCTGCTCAGGGATGTCTCAAACCCTCAGTGTTTCAGGTGTTTATCCCCCTGACCACAGCGAGATGCTGCCAGGAACTGGACTCCCATTCTGCTGCTATTTGTGCCCTTTTGGATTATATTTTTAGGCATTTTCAGTTATGCCTTAAATCAAAATTAGCCTTCGATTTATTACATATATATATATAAAATCCCCTTCTGGTGAAGGGCAGCAAAGTGTGAGCACAGCACTAAGGAGAAATGTTTCATTGTGGAATGATGAGCAACTTATTTACTCAAATTAAAATGCAAACCTGAGAATGCTGAGTATATAACATCTGATATATTTTCCAGCATCCACAAACACGAACTGCCTTTGTCAAGCTCAGTTTGATGGAGACAGCAGTGCTCTGCTTGCTGTTGGTCAGATAGACCTGACAAGTCTCACCCCAGCCCTAACACTGATTTGTTTTTTGCAACTATTCATGGGAATGACCAAATTGGGCTGGTTTGGTTTTTTGTAGTTTTTTTTTAATTTTTTGCTAAACATCTATTGTTTCCCATGGTATCTGCGTGGTGAGGGAAGGAACAAATACATGCTTCACTCGTGATGTTATCCTGCTGTTTATATTTTACAGCAAGCACTGGTCAGTCCTGATGGATCACAGCTCTGTCCCTGCTGCAGGCAGCACTGTGGGGTTAAACCCCAGCACAGCCACAGGCTGTGCCTCTGGACCACCAGCAACTCCCTGTGCCCTGCCCTGGCACAGCTACAGGGAACCTTCCCAGGTGACAGAGCTGTTTTGTGCTGCAAATCCCACATGAAAAAGCAGCCCCGGAGCACAACAATAACTCCTATTTACCAACCCACCCGCACCCAGATCCCTATTTCCTAGGAGCTCCATAAACAAAACAACCAAGGCAAAGCTGTTTTTGTCCCTAGAGCTGACATCCTTGGAATGAGAGCAGATGGGAGAGCTCTGGGAACAATGGGACAATGCTGGCTGGCAGGAGAGAAAGGCCCCAGCACTCCCTGCCAAGGACGTGGGGGCAAAGGGAAGAGGAACTGTTGCAGCTGAACCAAGGCTCAACGTGTTATTCAGCTGTGATGTTTTCAAGGGTTTTTTTGCCTGAAAATGGGGTGGCAATGACTTGCTTTGCCAGGCAGTGAGGCCTGAAGGACACCTGGGCCACTGTTCTCACAAAACCACACTCAGCCAGCAGCAACCAGTCAGGATCAAACAGACACCAGTGCCACTGGTTTACCAGTGAGCCCTCAGGATTTATGGAAGGGAGTAGGAAATGCCAATGCTCTGAATCAGGAAAAAAATGAGGCTCTTTGGAAAAGAGATGGAAGACTACAAGAGAGCACTAATTTCATTAAAGGATTATCCTTCATAGAGGATTTTCTCTTTGACAAGGTTGAAAATCTTCCCATCTTTGCTTGAGCTCTGTGGGGAGGATCTAAAACAGCCCCAGAGGGAGCTCATGGGGGGCTCTTCCAGAGCCTGACTGTGCATCCATCTTCCCCCCATCTCCAACCCCCTTGGAGCACCTACAGCTTCCAGAGGAACTTGGAAGGGGTTAAGCCTTTAAATACTTCTCCCTCGTTCCAATTCAGCAAAGCACTTAAGCTCATCATCTCCCTGCTTTGTATGTTTTAATACACTGGTTTAACAACTTTATCTTTCATTGGCACAATTGCAATGGCTAATCAGTCCTGACAATGCCTAAAGCATTCCTGGTGCTTCCAACCAAAACTCTGGGGGTTGGTGAAAAGGACACGGACACAGGGTTTGGTATCATTTCTTTAATGGCATAAAGCCCTAAACTTCTCCTGCACATCAGACCAAAGAGTTGGTGTTGGTATGATGTCACAAAATAAAAGCTGCTTTCTAAATTGGGTTAGTAAAAAGCATTTGAACTCTTGTAATGGATAGAGAAATCGATTTGCACAAACAGAATCTGCTTCAAAAGTCTGAATGCCTCAAGATTTTCACATCAAACTTCTGGACATACTCTCCTATCTAAATAATGTGCTGCAGGTGCAATTACAGCCGGGAAAAACCCATTACTGCTCCTACAAAACCAAACTTGCCTATTTTCTACTCCAAAGAACTTCCAGTGCCATCTCCTAAAGGCTTTCTCAGGACATGACAAGTCTGTAGAGTCAATAAGCATTGTGTCCCCTCAAGTGTCACAGCTCTCTGGTCTTTGTGCACCTCATCCTTCTGCAGATCAAGGCCACCTGATCTGCACAGGTCACCACTCCTGTTCGCAGTGGTCATCTCCTTGCACAAAGGAACATCACTTCACTGCAGGGTTTGCCATCAGGTTGACTCAGCTTTGTCAGTGCCTTGAAAACAATCTCTTTTCTCATCATGTGCTTCCTGAGAGCAGGATGGAATGAGTGTGTGTGCGCCCAGAAAACAGCTAACCAAAGGGAAATGTGGCTGTTTCTGGACAGAAGAGACGTAACTTCTTTGGTATCTAAGCTCATGAGAGATGCAGAGGTTGTTTCCTGCTCTGAATTTGGTGTCTAGGGGGAACAGGCTTGTTTGGTCTCACATGCAGTGCTCCCAGCCTGGGAGTGGCACAAATGTGACACCTCAGGCACACAGTGGGAGATCTGCAGTGCCACAGGGCACAGGCACAGCTGTGCGAGGAGCACAGTGTGCTAACAACACTCACCTCCTACCTGGTGGAGTCTGAGTCTTACTGTTGACTTCCTTTCTAAACTTGAAAATCTCAGAGGAAGCTCCTATCAGGTCGATGTGAGTGTCATAAGGAACGACCAGAACAGCAGGGTAACTGGGTTTTAACCTCTCACACACCTGTTTGTACCTCTGCTTCTCATCCCTGGTGTGGCCCTTGAGACAGAGCCTCTCCTTACGTAAAACCTTGTGGAGCTCTACAGACTTACTCTCAATCTTCTTCCTGACTCTTAGCACCTGAGCAGCATCAGCCCTACCTGCAGCCTTCTCAATGCACACTGTAGTTACACCCCCATCAGTGCTATCAGAAACTACAACATCACCAGTCGCCAGCAGTGCCCTGAGGGAAAAGTGCCTCATGTAGTGATACACGTCAGTGTCAAGAACAACCACTTGTTTTTCCCCATCTGCATCAGGAGTGAAATTCTTTGTCTCGGTGCTAAGTCTGTGCTCCTGTAGCCTCCTCCTTGGTCTCTGCTGGGGTTTACTCTCTTCTCTTTTGTCCTGCTCTGAGAGGCATTTGGCTTTCAGCAAGAGAAAATCTCTCAGCACTTTGATGGCTGGAAAGGACCCTTGAACAGCAATGTGCCCGTTGGACAGCAAAGGCCCAAAGCTCAAAGCTGTGCTCTTCTTCTTCATTTCCTCAATCAGATCCTCCACAGCAAACTGGTCTTTGAAAACAGACATGTTGAGGACAGACTTGACAGAGCTGAAAACCTGGAAAGTTGAAACAGAGAAGCTGAGGAATGGTTGACACACCCATGGAAGTACAGTTAGAAAAACGAGGAAGGAGCTTACGTGTTCACAGTAGCGAGTTACTTGCAGGGGGTAGTGTCTGGGCAGCCTCTTGTCCACTAGCTGATGGTCATTCTTCTTCAGAACACTCTCCACAACTAAAGAGAAAGGCAGATTCACTGGTTGAGCAGCAAAATAATGTGTCATCTTGACCCTTCCTGGGTGTTTTGCTCTCAAGGCTCTCCCTAACCATCTCCCAAACACACACGCAGGCGACTCAGTGCTCATGCCTCATATTTTATGTATCAGTCAAAACTGCTCAGAGAGACAGCAGCCTGTTTTCTCTGCGAACACTAACTTATTCTCAAAAGCCTGACTGCAAAAACAACATGTTATGCATGGTATAAATCTATTCCTAAAAGCAAACATAACGTTTTGCATGAACACTGAGTCACTGCTTCAATGAACAGGAATAAAATCCTAACACTTTGGCTAAAAGAGAGGTTTTAGCCTCCCAGTCTAATAAATCCTAAACAATTTAAAATCCATTGGCTTAGGGTTAACATTCTAGGGCTAATTCTTTAGGCACAGCTGTATTTACTATAGTCCATTAATCTAAGGACCTTCTTGATCTTCAAAAGTTATGTATGCGACTCCTTTATTCCCTGTTGGATATGTGACCTCTTCCACGTCTCCACCATTATTCCTGGACATTTGGAAGTGGATGGTCAGGATGTCAGCCATGACATCGTTGTGCAGAAGGCCATCTGGGACACCAGTGATGACAACTGTCCTTGCTGGTTTGGCAGCTCGTCCTGTTGCCTGTGCAGGGAGAGATGGCACATGGTGAACACAGAGAGCACTGGTGACCTGCCATAGGGGTGACCCATTCACCCCAACCCCTGGAGCCACTCCCCTTCCCTTGGCACAGACAGCATCCATATTTATCAGTTAATTAACACTGCTGATCACCTTTCAGGGCATGCCAAGCTCCCCCAGGCACCTTCATTACAGTGCAGTAATAAATGGCCTCGCTTAAATGTAATTTACACCCTCACAGTATCTTCTTAGAGCAGTAAAAATGAGCACCGAAGTTTCTCAAATGGGAGGTCCAAGTGTCACACTGATAGCATTGTTTCCTCTGATTCTAATACCCAAAATCTGAAGGGAATGGAAACCTAATTGCATGTACTGCTCAGTAAAGATTCCTCTCGGATGGAAGGGTCAGATTCCAACTGTCCTTGCTGGTTAAATCCACGAGGGTTGGGATCTAGGGCTGTGCTCTGACTCCTCTCTCGCCACTTATTAACTGGATAACCCTGTTAAAGTGGGAGAACATAATCCCAGTCATCCGAGACTCGAAGTGCATAAAACAACTCACTACACACATGATTTCCATCAGAGCCAAACCCCCAGCGCAGCAAACATCAACCCCATCCTAAACAGGATTTGCATCCATGTCTCGTTAAGACAAACGTATTTCCTTCCACTCTTATTAAGCAGACATAAACAGTAATATTTCACTGGGAACATCGCAGCAAGATGACTGTAAATAGTGGAACACAGACTAAATTTAGTAACAGCTCATTGACTTTTGGGAAGAAGGAGAATAAATAGCATGTCTGCATGGGAACGAGCTGTCAGTAACTTCAGAGCGACTGTACTGGGGTCAAGTCACTCCATCTAAATTCCTTAGGCTTCTCCTAGTTTTTCCTGGACTTGGGCTGCATAAAACATGAGGGAAGCACAGCACTTACAAAGCAGAATGTGCTGCCGGGGGGCAAATGCTTCGCTGCTGTGTGTCTAAAGCCCTGGGGACCACCACGGAGTGGAGACAGACCCAGTGAGGCTGTGCAGCTTCTAATCCATAAAGACACCAGTCCTTCCTTTCTCCCCCATCGGACTTAAAGAGCCAGGAGCTTTAATTATATTAGGCAATTATTGTGGGGGTAACGTGCGTGTGAAAGCAAGTCCCTGCACTAATGAGGCAACACGCAGGGAATATAAACAGGGATCGACGGAGCTATAGGCAGGATTTTCTCACAGCCCATGCAGCACTCAGCTGCCAGACAGCATCTCACACCTTGCCAGCTGGTGTTTGGGAGCAACACTCGTGCCTGCCATTGGGGTTAGGGAAGAAAAAAACCTCCTACAGTTTGTGCTGAATCACTCCTAAAGACAAGTCTGTGAGGAGCAGCTGTTGCCAGACAGGAATGCGGCGCTGCAGGAGGAGAGGGAGAGCAGCTCTGCTGTGCCAGAAACTATAGCGTCCTGCCTGTGGTTTCCCGTCAAATCTGCCACATGGATCGTGGAATCACAGACTGCTTTGGGTTGGAAGGGAACTTAAAGGGACAGGGACACCTTCCACCAGCCCAGGTTGCTCCAAGTGCCATCCAGGCTGGCCTTGACCCACGCTGACATGAGATCAGGTACACAGCCTTACCCACAGCCTTACCCACAGCCCTCACCCATCCTCAGTGCTATTAAAAAGGCAAATATTAATACTGTTGGGGCAAGTCAGGGCTGTGGCTACCACCGAGTAGCTGCAGGGCTTGGGCAGCAGTGCTGTCGTTTCACTGTGGATCCAAGCAACACATCTAGCAGCAGGACAAGAGGGCACAGACTCAAGCTCTGCCAGGGGAGGGTTAGGTTGGAGATTAGGAAGAGATTTTTTCCAGAGAGAGTGCTCAGGCATTGGAATGTGCTGCCCAGGGACCATCCCTGGAGGTTTTCAAGCTGAGACTGGATGTGGCACTTAGTGCCATGGGCTAGTGACCACGGTGGGGTTGGACTTGATGATCTTGGAGGTCTCTTCCAACCCGGTTGATTCTATTCTATTCTAAAATCTCCCTCGCTGCCTTCCTTCCAGCCTTTTCTTTCACTTTCAGCCCTTCCCGTCGGAGGTCTCTACCTCCCGCTGCTCCCAGCTCTTCCCCCCCAGCCCGGGATCTCTTCCTCCCTCTCCCCCGACCCTTCCCCCGGATCACTCCTCCCTG